CTTTTATTTTGTGTAAACCCTTTGATGGATTAGAAGTAGGGCTAGGGATCGTCCGGATAATGGCAGGTGGTAATTATGAACAGGAAAGGGCCAACGGAAGCCTCAAGCTGCGTTCAGACTGGGTGCGTTTTCTGCATCAATGTCTGATTCAGTGTCTGAAATTAAGTTTCCATCTTTCTGGATGGCTTTATAGTTGATTTCATCAGTAGATGTAAAAAATCGACCAACCAAGCATGTTTTACTGGCCAAAATATTAGAATAAAGAAAGAAAGGGATGAATGTACATGCACTCAATTTCATCCATTTTTATTTTTCTAGAGCAATCAAACTATGTACAGTACCTTTATCTTTTTTTCTTTTCTAGCAATAAAATAGCAATAAAACCAGTTCACGTTTTGGATTTTAAAGTAAAAAAATAATGGGAAAAAAAAGATGGAAGGGCATGAATAGTTTTCTGTGGCACTGTGATCAATAGAAGCCAGGTGCATGATTGTTGGTTATGCTTTGTGAAATGTTTGCTGCAAGAGGCTGTCCTCAGCCCGTTTACGGAACACTCACACAGCATGTGGCATTTATGCTACGTTCAGACCTTAAGCAGCAGAGGCAGCAAAAACGCTCGTGCTGCTTCATTTTTTATGCTTGTAAAAGTTTAGTTCTGACGAGCAGCTGAAGCATCTTTGCTGGATGGGTCTGATGTGTGTTGGGCAGAGCTACCCTATCCTTTCATTGCCTATAACAATGGCAGCTATAGCTGCTGTGATTAGTGGGTAAAAAGTAGTTTTGATTTGTTTTTAAGTGAGAAAGTCCTGAAAACATGGTTTGTGCAGTCAGTTCATCCAGATCACCATCCTGCCTTCAAATATTCCGCTGTTGGAGCCGCTCAGACCCCCACATACTGGGAATCCCCAGCTGCAGCTGCCTCAGGCCCGCTCGCTTCTTCACTGTTTTGTCCTACAGTTCGCGGCGGCTGGAAGTAGATGTTAGCGTTTTTCATGTACGTAATCCAAACTGCACCAGAATACTAAAAGTGAACATGTTTTGTCAGCAGGTTCCCAGCAGCTGCTGCTTTCGCAGCGCGTCAGATGCTCAGAAGC